TAAATGTATGGAAGTCCAAGGGCAGTGCAAAGACAGGTAGAGAGGCGTAAAGGGCAGTAAAGCCATAGCAATCAGATAACTTTTTGTATTACCCACCTAAGAAATCATATCCCTTCCACTGCTCTAGTGAAATACTGGGTGAATTAACCGTTCTACAGACGCCAGCAGTCCTGACTCCCTCTGGTAGTGGGCCATGTGATTAAAGCCTAGGCATTAGTCATGTGGTCTCTTCCAAAAGGTCTGTGATCCTGATGCTCAGGCAGAGTTAACAAATCCACAGCTTCACCCAAACAATTCTCCTCTCATCCAGCAGAGGCCATAAAACCAGTGCCCTTCAGCACAGAGTGCCTATGGGATTGATATGAATAGAACAGACAAGTATTTCCCAATTTCTTAATTAATGGAAATCTAAATACCTGAAATCTCACTGCTACAAACCGCTATTCTTTGTAGTTTATTATACAAAAGACCTATTGAAAGAAATCTTTCCTAGGGGAAACATGGCAGGTGCCAGCGCTGATCTCTCCTGAAAATGTCACTCGTCTGGCTGACCTATTCTTAAAAAAAAAAAAAAAAATGGAGTCACTGACCCAAAACTACTATATAAATAATAGGGGTTATTTACTAAAACTGGAGAGTGCAAAACTAGGTGCAGCACTGCATAGAAACCAATCAGCTTCCAGGTTTTATTGCCAAAGCTTAATTGAACAAGCTGAAGTTAGAAGCTGATTGGCTGCCATGTAGAGCTGTACCGGATTCTGAGTGCTCCAGTTTTAGTAAATATCCCCCTCTCAACAAGTTCCTCCTTTACTCTTTTAAATAGTATGCTTGCTATGGGTCAGTACTGAAGCCAGGATGGTACAATTTCAAAAGGAGTTCATTAGTTGCCATTTGTCTTAAGAAAGATTTCTTCAGTTGGTTGAAGGCATTTCTGTGAAAAAACAACCCGTGTAGTCTAGTAACATGCACAGTTCAGCACCTCAGGGGTGTGTCTCATTCCTTAGCCACTCCCCTTCTACCATTACCTTGTTATTATATTGCCATCTGCTGGCTCAGTGGAGCAGCTCATCAAACACACACTGGTCAATGTCAATGACATTATGATGGAAGACATCACAGATAGGGGATCGGCTAAACAGAGCTCACTCTGCATTTCAGCAGAGTTCCATTGCACTCAGGACTCTAGATGAATAGGGAGTACAACAGCACCTTATCTGGACTTTATATATATAGAAAACCATGCAATACTTTTAAAAGATTATGTTTATAAAGCAAGCCGTGTAGGGCAAAATTAACCTTTTTTGGCGAGTTACTTTTTTTGTGATTTACACTATATTATTGTATGCATTTCAAATATTTTTATATTTTAAAACATTCTAGATTTAGTAATTAAACACTTTAAAATACTCTAAAAAGTTGGAATGTTTAATATCAAGGATAAGCAGTATGAGTTGATGCAGCTTTGACATAATTAACATCCCCCTTTTCATCTGTGCATTGTGCGGACTGCCATTTTGATCACACATCATATCAACAGTAGTAGTTGCAATGAATGGATAAAATACCGGACAATCTGATTGTACAATCTCCATCTACCAACAAATATGTACTGTAAGGGCCTGTCTGATTGGATACAGATTGACTGGGTATGTCCTCATATTACATAGCTTTGGTAAATCTAACGTTGATGGTACAGTAAGATTGTGACATGTATGGTGGCCTTCACACAGACTGGGACAATGATATTCCAACACAAGTCAACAACATACCATTGAATACTCTTAGTATACACAGCAGTTCAGAGGCTTTGTTTTACCTGCCCTGCGTTGCACTGCGTTTCTTTAGGCGCAGCATGCCCTACTGGGGTGCATTTGAACTGCAGGGAAAGCAGATGAAGTGCAGCCGTCTTTTGTCAAGTGGCGAGTTTCCCATTTGAAAGCAGTTGCATTGTCTTCCAGCGGAAAATGCAAAAAGTTTCACAGCAATGCCCAAAAACGTGAGCTCTAAAAATTCTGTTTCAACTGAATACCCTGAACTACTCTGAGACTTTTGGAAAATTGGGTAATTTCTCAAGAAGGAATTAAATACTATTTGCAAAAAAAAAAAAACTTTTTGCAATTCCAAAAAACATTTTGAGAAGACAGGAGGCAGCCACAGCCACTGGCAAAAAATAAGGGCACCCCCCCAATCAAATAACAGGAGCACCCTGTAATAAAGGCTGGTCACTCCTGTTCTCTCTCCCTGTGAAGGATTACTGGTCTTGTCTCCGCCCACTCCTGTACTTTTCTGCAGGCAGCCTGTAGTGGGTGGAGCCTGCTGGGTCCCTCCCACAGCTATGCTCTCTGCAAATGCTATGTATATCACAGTGATGATGACACTGTAACTTTTACAATATAATAACCAGGTTTGCAAAGGCATTTGGTGCACACAAAGAGGATCCTTTCTGGCTTTTTAGGAATATATTTAAAAGGAAAGGATTTTTGCCTACAGTTCAGCTTTAAACCTTTTTTTTAAGACCTGTTCAGTTCATATTTATTGGGCTGTGAGCCCTAGGAGTTCAGTTCTCACCACTGTTCTGCAGTGGTATGCACTGCAAAAAAGTAGAACACGCACTACTTCTTTTAACGCAGTGTGTTGCAACGTACTGCACCACATTGTAAACTGCCGCAGATAATAAACAGATCGGAAATGTCACTTTTTGACATTACAATAAAATAGAAAAAAGCCCCCCCCCCCCCCAAAAAAAAACAAAACAGTGCATTGCGTCATTTATGATGCCTTGGCACCACTGCTTTCACAGCAGCCTTGGTGTAACATGACCACTGGTTTGAATGAGCCCTTTAGCTTCTGTTGCAATTAAGAAAGCTTGTCTATCAGTTTCCACAAGGATTATAAAAACTGTATTTTATAGGGTGCAATCCAGAAATGTCACTTGTTGAATGACCAAAAAAAGAAGCAACCCCCCCCAAAAAAAAAGCCTTTTATTTTCTGATATGGTGTCTACTTGTCCCAAAGATCCAGCATTTACATTCTTTTCATATCTGCTATTCAAGCTTTCATTAAAAGGTGATAATTAAAAACAAACCAGAATAAAACCGCAGTGTTTGTATTCTACTCAAAGGCTACTCTGAAATGGGTGACGCTGATTTACATGAAGACAAATGGCTGCAGTTGGCTTATGTGATTTTCCTGCTAAATTGCATTGATTCGGCATTGTGCACACTGCATTCATTCATACAGATCATTGCATTTGGTTTGCATTGTGCTTGCAGTTACAGACAGAGCCGATGCATTGTAGGATGCAGAGGTGTGTTCAGCAGCACATAGCACCTACGTACCAGAATGTACTCACATTGAAGGCTATATGGAGCCCAAACTGATCTCTCATACGGAGCCCAAACTGATCTCAGGAGGACAGTTAATCAGTTACAGAGGACACTGGGGACTTGAATCAGTTACAGGAGGACACTGGGGACTTGAATCAGTTACAGGAGGACACTGGGGACTTGAATCACACAATGGCTTCTTATATTTTTAAGGGCTCATTGATATTAGTGCTGCCCTCTGAAGAGCTATCAGCAACTGACTGCCTATCTCATTTCTTGAGGCCCTAAAATGCTCGGACAATACAAATCCCCCCCCCCCCCCCCATGACCCCTTTTTGAAATGTGGACACCCCAAGGTGTTTAGTAAGAGGCATGGTGAGTTTTTTTGAAGGTGCAATTTTTTCTCACAATTTTCTGGAAAGTTAAGTCATTAAATAAAATGTGTTTTTTTTTTTTCACATATATTTTTTTACATACTGCCACCAGAGCAGTGCAGCATAACCATGACTGGTGTGGCGCTGATCAGGGACACTGGTGAAAGTATATAAGAAACAAACAAAAAAAAATAATTTTTTACTTTTTTATAAAATGCTTTTTTTTTTAAAAAAAATTTTACATACTGCAACCACAGCAGTACTGTGTCATAGTGACACTGTACTACTCTAGGGAGGTGATCAGGATTTTTTTTTTTTTTTAACATTAAGATTGCTTATGACAGTTATGATTACTGTACATAAGCAATCATTTTTATGAATGACATCCATTCATGTGCCATAGTGTACTACTGTAATAGCTGTGATTAGCCACAGCTATCACATGGTTCAAATCTGCTGTGATTGGCCCCTTTACCATGTGATCACTGTGACCAATAAACAGGTCACAAAAGTACACACAATGACTATGAATAAAAGCCATTGTTGACAACTGACATGTGATCGTTGTTATTGGTCACAGTGATCAGATAGTATGAACTGTGTTCTGTTGGGTGCCCCCTAGGGTGCGTGAATGGGAGGATGTCATGTGACATCCTCCTGAAATAACAGTGCCCCTGAACTGAAATTATTTTACAATAGGCTAGGCGGGAGGTGTTTAAAGTCTGCATAATGTTTTTTTCCTGTTCTGGATTTTGTTACACTGGAGAAGTAGGGCTTGCAGTGTTTCAGGGCTGCCTATGTGTATGTGTAGCACAGACAGCGTATGGACGTATGGCTGTACTTGCAGTCGGGAGCACGCATCAACGGGTGGCTCCATAGGTTCCTGCTAGGGCAAGGAGACACCCGACAGGAAAGAGAGGCAAGACAGAGAAGAGAAGCAGCTTCTAATGAAAATCTGGACCTCAGGCAGCAGAAAAAAAAAAAAAAAAAAAAAGTTTAATAATTCTATTTCTTCTCCGAGTTACAGGCTGACAGCCATTGTTTTTACCAATCTTATGTCAGGTGATCACTGTCAAAAGACAATGATCCTGATTTTCCAGCCCACGTGCAATACAAACCTCTGTATCATATTTGTAAGCCACTATAATAAGAACAATAGACCAGGCTCTGTCTGTAAGCTAGCATCACACCTAGATATACAAGTATTGCTCGCTAAGGAAGTGTAAACCTTGTGCCAGTAATGTGCATTGTTAGTGAATAACTGAAGATAACAGTGCATCCTCGAGAACGTCCTCTCAGACTACAGATGCGAGTTCACCATCAGCTGGATCATCTCCTGAAAGTTCTGGAACACCATCCGCAGGAGCTTTTCAGCGTCTGTCTCCGGGCTGGACTTCCAGGCGGTGCAGGTGGCCACAAACCTAAAGCGACACAGACACACCTTAAAGTACTGGGCCTTACACCTCAAGGTCCCTAAAAGTGGAACAAGTCCAGTATTTGCAACAACCACTCAAACTGTCCCGTCTTAGTTTCTATAGTGCTCTACAAAGAAGAAAGAACCCTGGTTGGGGTGCAAGACCCCTGGATATAAGGAACAAGAGCTACTGCTTCTTATGCGTACTGTATATGAAACTTGTGAAAGCCACAACTCAGTGGAGAGGTATGAGTAAAAAATGAATTACTTTGACCCAAATGAAATTGACGGGTGCCACTCAAGGCTCCACCAGGTCCCCTTATGTAGCCATCTAATGGAAAAGGGAGAAGTCCTGGAAGTTGAACATCTCTGCAAAACCCCGTAAGAAGGTGTATGACAGCCTCAGCCCGGGCTCCAACAAGGCCACACACCCCCAACACTGAGGCTGTCATACTCCTTTTTCTTGCAGAGATGTGCAACTTCCAGGACTTCCCCCTTTTCCATTAAAAATGTATTAATTTCAATGAAAGATGTCAGCATATGTCATTGACTGCATGTAAAATGTTTCCCCTGTTTTGTGCATTGGTTTCAAAATGTAATTCCACTTCTTTTGAGGAAAAAAAGCAATTCCTTCGGGTGATCTATGTTGACTGCAAGGACTTTACATTTATTTGGAGATTCCTACCTGTTTCTGCTCTCTCCGCAGGAGGGGGAAAAGGGGGTGGTGTTGGTCAATGGGGGGCAGACGATTTTTGTGTTGCCTAGGGCAGAACAAAACCTAAATACACCACTGGCTGCATTCCTTTAGAAGTATTTTTAGTGACCTTAAGCTCAAAGTTTAAAAATAAATAAACAAGTTTATATTTACCTGCTCTGTAAAATGGATTTCCACAGAGCGGCTCCAAATTTCCTCTTCTTAGGTCCCCCGCCAGCGTTCCTGAATCCTCCTATCGCTGTGTTATGAAGCCGCTTCTTATTGTAGCACACAGCTGTGGGCTCAAACTTGAGCCGCGCTGCCTGTGTCCATGGACACAGACAGCCCAGCTCAGCCCTGCCCCCACTCCCTCATCACAGGATTTAACTGACAGTTAAATCCTGGAAAATTCATTTTTTAAAAAACACTAAATTACAACAACATGGGTTATGCAACAATTGTATATTCTATGCTATTTTTTATTTTTTTCCCACAAAAGTGGAATGGAGTTATCCTTTGATCAAGCTAAATTTACAAAAACAGCACAGCTGCTAAATATCAGCCGGATTGGGTCAATTAGATATAATTGGAAGATAATTACACAATTTCCAGTGATTGAAGATCTCTATTTATGTGACACTTGCATGCCTTTTCAACATGTGCGAAGAGCAGAGATGGAGTGTAATAACCTCTAACAGCCAATCAGATTTCACTGGAGTTAGATCAGTGAAAAATAAATTCAGATTGCTGGTATGGTTACTGCATTTTGGACATTATTCTAAGCCTTAGAAATTAAGATCAACAATGGAGGAGTAATGTACGTCAAGAACAAATGTAAACCCACCTGTCATCTCGGATTCTATAGAAAAAGCCGTATCCATCATGTATCATGGGGACTACACCACCATGGACACTGGTGTAGCCCACAAGGCTGGTGGAAAGGACAAAATTTCCACCTCCACCACTGCAAGAGAAAAAGAAGATGATCTGCCGGATGACAAAACAATGACATAAAAGTACAAAACAGATTCTAATATTTGTGCTACTGCTGTTGCTGTTAAGGACTCTATCCCCTCTTGCTCTCGGACATTTAGAAGTGCCTGCACATTAGATGACAAGTGTTGTGGACATCTGACCATCACACCTACCTTATGACCAAACGTATACGAATATATGACTGAGTTTAGGTGTTTCCAGTGAAAGATACTGTACCGCAGATCACAAAGAAATTTTAGACAACAACTGCACACTTCCAACCTTGTGGAAGGAAATTTGTGTGTGACTTTAGGTGTGAAAGTGCTTTATTCTTCTATACTAGTGGTCTCCAAACTGCGGCCCTTTGCCTGTCCTTATCTGGCCCTTGGTGGTACAATTCCTCCTACTGATAGCAACAATGGGGGCATAAATCTTGCCACTGACACCAGCAATGCAGCACTATTCCACTGATACCGATGATGGGCACCCTTCCACCCACTGACACCAATGAAGGGATACTAATCTTCCTAATGATACCAATGATGGGGCACTATTTCTCCCACTGACACCAACAATTGGGCAATATTCCTCCCACTTACACCAACAATTGGGCAATATTCCTCCCACTTACACCAACAATTGGGCAATATTCCTCCCACTTACACCAACAATGGGGTTCAGTTCTGTATCCTTGCCCTGAATACTGGACAAACCTCTCCAGAACTGCTCTTCTGTTGAATTATTTGAGAAAGAAGCTAGTACAATTACAAGCTAGAGGGTATTCCAGTTGGTTGATAGATAAAGGAAAAGACGAGCTCTGTCAAGGTCCAGAGAAGATATACCTTAATCTAATGGTAACTTAAATACATAATCAACAGGTAAACCCACTTTCAAAAGAATATAATGAAGTAATTGGTATCAAGAAAAATCTTGCTATACTATATCCAAACCCACAACTAGATGAATTACTTAAAAAGGATGTAGATTTTTCAGTCAAAAAGCACCCATATTTATTTGGAAACCCAAGTAAAAGTGGAATGTGGTTGTCAACTAAAGGATCCAACAGTTGTGGTTTGTCTACTTGTTGGTATCGTAAGTGCCACCGGAAAACTAACAAGGTTTTTTTCATGTGTTTCAGAGGATGATGGGGTTCCTAGAAATGATTTCAAGAATTGTGGTCTGTGTGACTTTTTTGCTCACAATGCAATATACAATATGTGGGATGTACTGTGTGACATCTCACTAAGATAGGCAAGCATTACTATGGAAGTAAAAGTACATATTTGACTAACATTTCTAATGTGTCCCAACAATTTATAGACATTCACAATTGTGACACAAGCTTTTTTTTTGTTCCATGGTATTGAAAGAGTGCAGCTGAATCATTGGATGTGGAGATGTCCATCGAGAATTACTACAGAGGAAAACCCAGTGGATTTTCGAATTGCAGACTAGAATTCAACCTGGTCTTATTTGTAGGTGGGAAATCAATTTATTGCAAACGTAAAATATATTGCCAATAGTATTTGGACGCCTGTCTTTACACACACATGAACATTGATGGCATCTTAGTCTTAGTCCGTAGGGTTCAATATTGAGTTGGCCCGCCCTTTGCGGCTATAACAGCTTCAAACTCTTCTGGGAAGGCCGTCCACAAGGTTTAGGAGTGTACCTATGGCAACGTTTGACCAGAATCACATTTGTGAGGTCAGGCACTGATGTCGGATGAGAAGGCCTAGCTCACAGTCTCCGCTCTAAAATATTTCGCTTTACTGGAACTAAGGGGCCATGCCCAACCCCTGAAAAACAGTCAAACACCATAATCCCCCCTTCACCCTTTACACTTGGCACAATGCAGTCATGCAAGTACCGTTCTCCTGGCAACCACCAAACCCAGACACGTTCACCAGATTGCCAAACAAAGAAGTGTGATTTGTCACTCCAGAGAACACGTTTCCACTGCTCTAGTGTCCAGTGGCGGCGTGCTTTACACCACTGCATCCGACCCTTTGCATTGCACTTGGTAATGTAAGGCTTGGATGCAGATGCTCGGCCATGGAAACCCATTCCATGAAGCTCTCTACGCACTGTTGTTGTGCTAATTTGAAGGCCACACAAAGTTTGGAGGTCATTTAGCTATTGACTCTGCAGACAGTTGACGACTTCTGCGCTGTCCCCGCTCTGTCATTTTACATAGCCTACCACTTGGTGGCTGAGTTGCTGTTGGTCCCAGTTGCTTCCACTTTGTTATAATACCACTAACAGTTGACCGTAGAATAGTTAAAAAGAAATGAAATTTCACAGATGTACTTACTGCACAGGTGGCAAGCTATCACGGTACCATGCTTGAATTCACTGCGCTCCTGAGAGCGACCAATTCTTTCACAAATGTTTGTAGAAGTAGTCTGCATGACTAGGGGCTTGATTTTATACACCTGTGGGCATGGAGGGGATTGGAACACCTGAATCCAATGATATGGAGGGGTGTCCCAATACTTTTGGCAATATAGTGTATTTTAAAATTATTTTTAATCTTTTTTTATTAATTTTTAATTAAATTAATAAAAAAATCACATTTACGTAAAATTAATATACCGTACTATTTTTTGTTTAATTAGTATCCTTCTTTGTGGGAAGATTAAAGTTCTGTCAGTTTGTAATTTTTTGAATTGATTTTTTTTTTTTTTTATTATTGATTACGACAATTGTGTGAATAATCAAGATTGCTCCCATGCACTATAGGTGTTTAAATATGTGTATGTTTTCCACAACTAGGGTTGCCACCTCATCCCTTTAATTACACAGGTTCTGAGGCTAATTTAATGCAGATAAGACACTGAGTGAGTTTTAATTACCACCTTAATCAGCCACAGAATTTGTGTAATTAATATGTGTTCGGTTTTAAAGGAATGAGGTGGCAACCCTACCCACAACCCTGCTATGATAAATGCTCTGTAAGCCAAACACACTAGGGAGTTGTTGTGATTTGCTGTTTAATTAAATAATGATGAAATTTTAGGGGATTTGCAATTGTGCTGGATATTATTCTGCTACAATGCCAGCAGGATCAGAAAAAACAGCATTCGTGTGTAACGGGTTATTTGGAGGCTGCTGCAAATATAAGTAGGAACCTCTAACTGCCTGCACTTTACACCTGATGGTAGTTTGTTTCTTTTTAATTTGCTGACAGATAGGCTTTAATCATGCTAAGGCAGAGTAGTCACCTTTTTGTAAAGGCTGGATCGGTGTAGAGCTCTGGCACTGCAATCCCTTGCTCTTTTGCAATCAGGAGGAGACCCAGCAGGTGGCGATCAAATCCTGTTAAAAAAAAAAAAAAAAAAAAGAGGTTTAGTTTCTCACAAGTGGGTTCAAAGACCTCCAACCAGCTGAGGGCATCACACAACTAGGTGCAAGAACCTCCAACCAACAAGGGGCATCACACAAGTGAGTGAAAAGACCCCCATCTAGCAGAAAGCATTTCACAAGTGGGTGTTAGAACATCTAACAATCAGAGGGCATCACACAAGTGGGTGCAAGGACCAGCAACCAGTACAGGGCATCACACAAGACCCCCAGCCAACAGAGGGCATCACGTAAGTGGGTGCAAGGGCATTTAACCATCAAAAGGGCACCACAAAGTGGATGCAAGTACCTGCAACCAGCAGAGGGAATTACACCAAGTGAGTGCAAAGACATCTAATCAGAGGGCATTACACAAGTTGATGCAAGGACCTCCAACTAGCAGAGGAGAAACACAAGTGGGTGCAATGACCTCTAACCAGCATAGGACACATCACAAGTGGGTGCAATGACCTCTAACCAGCATAGGACACAGCACAAGTGGGTGCAATGACCTCTAACCAGCATAGGACACAGCACAAGTGGGTGCAATGATCTAACCAGCAGAGGACACAGCACAAGTGGGTGCAATGACCTCTAACCAGCATAGGACACAGCACAAGTGGGTGCAATGACCTCTAACCAGCAGAGGACACATCACAAGGGGGTGCAATGACCTCTAACCACAGAGTGGGTGCAATGACCTCTAACCAGCAGAGGACACATCACAAGTGGGTGCAATGACCTCTAACCAGCATAGGACACAGCACAAGTGGGTGCAATGACCTCTAACCAGCAGAGGACACAGCACACAGTGGGTGCAATGACCTCTAACCAGCATAGGACACATCACAAGGGGGTGCAATGACCTCTAACCAGCATAGGACACATCACAAGTGGGTGCAATGACCTCTAACCAGCATAGGACACAGCACAAGTGGGTGCAATGACCTCTAACCAGCATAGGACACAGCAATGACCTCTAACCAGCATAGGACACATCACAAGGGGGTGCAATGACCTCTAACCAGCATAGGACACATCACAAGTGGGTGCAATGACCTCTAACCAGCATAGGACACATCACAAGTGGGTGCAATGACCTCTAACCAGCATAGGACACAGCACAAGTGGGTGCAATGACCTCTAACCAGCAGAGGACATTACACAAGTGGGTGCAAGAACCCAGTCAGCAAACAGCATAACACAAGAGGGTGCAAGGACCTCCAACCAGAAGAGGGCATTACATAAGTGGATGCAAGGACAGCTAACCTGTAGAGGGCATGACACAAAGAGGGGTAAGGACCTCCAACCAGCAGCAGAGGACATCAGCAGGACATCACAAAAGTGGGGGTGTAAGGACCCCCAGCCTGCAGAGGGCATCACACAACTGGGTTCAAGAACCCCCAACCTGTAGTGGGCATCATACAAGTCAAGTGGGTGCAAGGCCATCTGCCACACAGAGGTCATTACACAAAGAGGTGCAAGGACTTCCAACCAGAAGAGGGCATCACATAAGTGGATGCAAGGACCTCCAACCAGCAGACTGAAATGTCTCTACACAGTACAGTGTAACAAAGCATCATTGGGAAAAGAAGGAAAAATGCTAATGAATTGTATTACATCAGTACATACCTCCCTGCAGTATATTATTGAGTAAAATCATTGCACCGAGCCAGCAGAGTATCCCTATACAAACCCCATTCATCCCAGGTGTACTTTTTCCTTCAGTCTTGTCCATGTTACGGGACGGTTGGATTTTCTAGAACCCCCCCCCCCACGGTTGGAGATAAGTGGCGCACAGGTTTTGAAGATAATTTATAAATAAACATTTGTATAAACTTCTCAGTACAAACCTTTCCCCTGCTGGAACTCTTTCATCATTTTGTTATGTTTTGCAAAAGCGCTGAGCATCAACCTGTGCCGCTCGGCGAGCTGTAAAAATATAAATGTCAAGATTACAGCGAAACACAACAAATAGAATAAAGTATAAATGACTCAAAATGCAGCACTGCCGATACATTTGTTTATTATTATTATTACATCATCTAATAAAGTGTAAACAGGAATAAAGTATAACTAAAGGCAAAACTTTTCTTTTAGCTTTGGATAGAGTGGAGATGGATTAGAACACCTTTCAGGTTTTATTGCTCTCTGTGCCCCTCTTAGGGAGATCCCCCCTCTCTATTTGTCTTGTTTACCATTATCATTAAAAGTGAAAGTAAAAGAAAATCCCAAATTCTGGGTTGTCCCCAGAAAAGTAATAGTGGGGGAATCTTCCAATGGAGACACTAGTTCTGGTGACCTGGGGGCCCCAAGGAACTCCCTTAATGTGCAGGGACTTCCGCTCACTTCCTGTTTGGCTATGGGACAGGAAGTGAAGGGAAATCTTGGCAATGGGACACATGGCGAGAAAAAAAAAAAAAAATCTGACAGGGGTTTATTACCCTCACTTACTCTATCCAAAATGACAAAAAAAAAAAAAGGCTTTGCCTATACTTCTACTTTAAAGTGTCAAACCATTATGCAAATGCAATCCTTTACAATATTAACCACTTCCTGCCAGCTGTGTGCATATAGCCTCTCGGCGGGTGGGCCTTAACACCAAAAGGCCACATACAGTCAGGTCCATAAATATTGGGACATGGATACAATTCTAACATTTTTGGCTCTATACACCACCACAATGGATTTGAAATGAAACAAACAAGATGTGCTTTAACTGCAGACTGTCAGCTTTAATTTGAGGGTATTTACATCCAAATCAGGTGAACGGTGTAGGAATTACAACAGTTTGCATATGTGCCTCCCACTTGTTAAGGGGCCAAAAGTAATGGGACAATTGGTTTCTCAGCTGTTCCATGGCCAGGTGTGTTATTCCCTCATTATCCCAATTACAATGAGCAGATAAAAGGTCCAGAGTTCATTTCAAGTGTGCTATTTGTATTTAGAATCTGTTGCTGTCAACTCTCAAGATGAGATCCAAAGAGCTGTCACTATTAGTGAAGCAAGCCATCATTAGGCTGAAAACACAAAACAAACCCATCAGAGAGATAGCAAAAACATTAGGAGTGGCCAAAACAACTGTTTGGAACATTCTTAAAAAAAAAGGAACGCACCAGTGAGCTCAGCAACACCAAAAGACCTGGAAGACCACAGAAAACAACTGTGGTGGATGACCGAAGAATTCTTTCCCTGGTGAAGAAAACACCCTTCACAACAGTTGGCCAGATCAAGAACACTCTCCAGGAGGTAGGTGTATGTGTGTCAAAGTCACCAATCAAGAGAAGTCTTCACCAGAGTGAATACAGAGGGTTCACCACAAGATGGAAACCATTGGTGAACCTCAAAAACAGGAAGGCCAGATTAGAGTTTTGCCAAACGACATCTAAAAAAGCCTTCACAGTTCTGGAACAACATCCTATGGACAGATGAGACCGAGATCAACTTGTACCAGAGTGATGGGAAGAGAAGAGTATGGAGAAGGAAAGGAACTGCTCATGATCCTAAGCATACCACCTCATCAGTGAAGCATGGTGGTGGTAGTGTCATGGCGTGGGATGTATGGCTGCCAACGGAACTGCTTCTCTTGTATTTATTGATGATGTGACTGCTGACAAAAGCAGCCGGATGAATTCTGAAGTGTTTCGGGAATATTATCTGCTCATATTCAGCCAAATGCTTCAGAACTCATTGGATGCCGCTTCACAGTGCAGATGGACAATGACCCAAAGCATACTGCAAAAGCAACCAAAGAGTTTTTGAAGGGAAAGAAGTGGAATGTTCTGCAATGGCCAAGTCAATCACCTGACCTGAATCCGATTGAGCATGCATTTCACTTGCTGAAGACAAAACTGAAGGGAAAATGCCCCAAGAACAAGCAGGAACTGAAGACAGTTGCAGTAGAGGCCTGGCAGAGCATCACCAGGGATGAAACCCAGCGTCTGGTGATGTCTATGCATTCCACACTTCAGGCTGTAATTGACTGCAAAGGATTTGCAACCAAGTATTAAAAAGTGAAAGTTTGATTTATGATTATTATTCTGTCCCATTACTTTTGGACCCTTAACAAGTGGGAGGCACATATGCAAACTGTTATAATTCCTACACTGTTCACCTGATTTGGATGTAAATACCCTCAAATTAAAGCTGACAGTCTGCAGTTAAAGCACATCTTGTTTGTTTCATTTCAAATCCATTGTGGTGGTGTATAGAGCCAAAAATGTTAGAATTGTGTCCATGTCCCAATATTTATGGACCTGACAGTATATGTGTACCAAAATGTAAACAATGCAGTGCCGAGAGTGCACGCCCTGCAAGCTCCCGCGACAGTTACTAGCAGGTACTGGAGAGCTCCTGCTGCTACTTGCGATCGGGAGCTTTCCATTCATGTGATCACTGTGACAGCCGATCATGGCAGTCACATGACCAAAATGCCCACCTCCACCTCTAGGCGTTTGATCCCTCTTAAAGGGCCTGGAGGTGACGGCGTGAAAGGGTTAAACATATAACAGTGCCAATGTCCTCAATCCAATATAAAACACCAGCGTTGAATATTAAAAGTCCACGGTGTTTTGTCATCAAAATCCAAGTGCACCTCAAATGAGACAGCCACTCACCAAACCTAATGCCTTTCTTTTGTACAAAGATCGGCATGTATAGTGCAACAGATTTTCCAGTGGCATCCAGCTGTTTCACCACCTCAGATTGATCTCAGCCTCTCTCTATGATTACTATCTATTCTTGTAAAGCCAGGTATACGTATGTCCCTGAGGAAGAGCCATACTCAAAACGCATCAAGAAACCTTTATATCAAGACTGTTGGGGCTCAGTCACACCACGGTGCAGTTTTTCTGCATGCGTTCTGCAAGGGCACTAAAAAAATAATTGTTCTCTATGTGTCCTGTTCACACCACAACACTGGTATCTTGTGGAGGTTTTTTCTGTGCAGGAATCTGCAATGTGCATAAAACTCACTGAACCATGCATGAAATATTATGTTTCTGCAAGTGAAATCTGCATGTCAGTTTCCATCAGTTTTTCTGCATGTATGGTGTGAACGAGGCCTTACACTTGAACTTATGAGTTGCATATGGGGCTCTGTTCCCCTAAGATCTAAAGCTACAGTATATGCTTTCAGTTATGGTTTTATGTTCTTGAATAAAGACCCAATAAACTGTTTTTACATATTAACACTGGTGTTTAAACCATACCTGGTGCCACGAAAGTCACACACCCCGTGCCTCAATTTATTGGATAGACTATTTCTGGGATGTTGGCACCCAAGTAGCCTCCAATCACACCAGTTATCTTTTGTTTGCAGGATTTGACTGGCAGCAGCAGGAGCCAATGGCTCCCACCGCCCCAGTAAAACCAGTGAGAGCCTGGAAAAGGGGAGAGAGGGGGTGTAACTGCTACCTGGACATTTTTTAACTTAAAGCGGAGCTCCACCCAAAAGGAAAAGTTCCGCTTTAAGCTTTTTTTCCCATCGCTCCCAATTAAGAATTGGCACCTTTGGGGAGCGGGGGGAGAAGCGGAAACCCGAACTTGACAGGTGCCTGCTCCCACTTCCACTGCAATCCCCTAGGCCAGGGGTAGGCAACCTGGCTCTCTAGCTGTTGTGGAACTACATTTCCCATGAGGCATTGCAACATTACAAACCTGACAGTTACAGCTATGACTTGAAGAGGCATGATGGAATTTGTAGTCCTGCAACAGCTGGAGAGCCGCAGGTTGCCTACCCCTGACCTAGGCGATCGGAAGCGGAAGTTGTCCTCTTCCCCTCCCTCCCCGTAGTCTTCTGGGACACGTGACAGGTCCTAGAAGACTACGGGGCCATTCACAAAGCGCAGCACTTCTCACGCATGCACAGTGGGCACCCGCCTGTGAAGCCGCAAGCTGTCACAGACGGGTGCCCACATTGAAGATGCCGGTGCCAGGGAGAGAAGACGGCCAGTGAAACCAGCCATAGTGAGGACACTGCTGGACTGAGGGACAGGTAAGTGACTGTATTTTAAAAGTCAGCAGCTACAGTTTTTGTAGCTGCTGACTTTTATTTTTTTTTTTTTCAGGTGGAACTCCACTTTAATGCAGGGAATGCATTAAGGTACAAAATGGCATGCCTTTAGGACCACTTTAAATGCATAAAAAATTTATATCAGAGTTAGTAACAAAATCAACTCGCTAAATGAAAAAAAAAGTAAACACCTTGTTATTCCCCCACACACACCCAAAAGCAAATGGGCGCATAGGTATACATTTGTAAGTAACGATTGCACCACACAAGTGAAGTATCACCTTGACCTCCAGAGGGAGAGCAATAATCCTACGGCCATCATTCATAATTAACTCTACATAGATAACCTGTAAAGGCTTTTAGAGTGTCAGCTATGAAAATTGTAGCTAGCGTAGATTGTCGCCATTTCTCAATTGCACACAATTTTGAGAATTCATTTTACTGGATTTTCTCCTGGAAATTTGCATTTGATAAACAGCTGCGCAAATATTATGTGACATACAAAATTGCAACAGCCTTAATTTTTTCTTCATGGCCTCTGCTTTAAAAAGAAAAAAAAAAGAAAAAAAAGAAGGATATGTTTGGGGGGTTCCAAGTAATTTTCTAGCAACAAAAATCCTGATTTTAACATGCATGTAAAAAATTAAAAAAAACTGCCCCGGATGGCAAGTGGTTAATTAATGCTGTCCAGTTGGTTTTCATCTACAAGTGACCCTTACTTGCATAGGCAGTTTATAGGGAAAGGTCAACTAACCCTTTAACAATAAGTTGCTATTATCAAAGCAGCCCAACTTACAGTAGCGGAAGGGTCCAGCATGGAGCGACACCAGGTCACGGCCTCCACAGTGCAGGGTCTCATAGTCTCAGTGCGCCCGTGGTAGAATGTTCTAGTAGTGGCTGTTTCATAACAGCATCCGGGACTAAGAAAAAGAAAACAGAACAAATGAAAACTAGATGGACTTTGGTGTATCAATAGTTTTCATGTCGCTGACCATCCATATTCTATAGGAGGGATTAACACAGACTAGCAAACGCAAAAAAAAATGTGCCAGTTTCCATATGCCTGCTCAACCACTAGCTGCCCTTAGGACGTACTCATATATCCTCAAGGTTTCAGTAAGTATACTGGGGTCATGGCTGCAGCTGCAGCCATGACCTGGCTATGTCTTTTTTCAGCCAATGATGCTCTATAATGTAAAAGTGATCCGGTGGCTATACAGCCACCGGATCACTTTTACATGTGGCAGAAAGTGGTCCCCCCTCTGCCACCGTCATTCTGGGCTGTCCCATGCCACTGGGGAGGGCAGGACTAAAACCAGCTGTTGCGCTGACACACCATAGAAACGAGGGAAGATCTTATGTTCCCCAATAATATTTATGGTCTATGAAATCAGAAGCGACAAGTATTTTGTCATTTCCGGTTTTGGTTTGCTGTTTGCATGCTGTTACTAGCTTGTACAGTATCTGATTGAACCGAACTTGGTTTGATCAGATGATTTTGAGGGCGGAGGTGAGCTCTGGTGTCTAATAGACCCCAGATGTCTCAATAAAGAGTACCTGTCACTGCCCATGCAATCACAAAGGGATGTTGTTCATCCCCTGTGATAGCAATAACGTTGATAATATTTTTTTTTAAAGAGACAGTGTTAAAAATATTTTTTTTGTAATAATAAATATTAATAGAAGAAAAAAAAAAGTAAAGTGCCCTTGTCTTTCCAAGCTCATGCACAAAGGTGACATGTGTCCTGCAGGCATATGTAAACGATGATCGCACCACACCTGAGGTATTGCCGCAAACATACCGAGCCCAATAATTCTAGCACCTGATGTAACTTTAAACTGGTAGTCTGTAAAGGCTTTTAAAGCGTTGCCTATGGAGATGTTAGGGATCTATTTACTCTGCATAACATCATCTTTTATAGTTTACCTAATCATTGGGTATTATAATGTGCTTTTGTGTATTAAAATCCATCAAATTTATTTTTTTATTAAAAATTGCATTTTAGAAACTGCTGTGCAAATATCTGACATATATCTCCCGCGCCTTTGCTTTCAGAAATATAATGTCTGGGGGTTGTAAGACAGGCCATACGCCGAACTAATTTTTTTCCTGCAATCACAGGGCAATCCCTACTGCCGAGCCATTGTATTCTCTTGGTGGGTGGGGGGCAGGAAGGAGAAGATAGCGATTACTTCTAGCGGCTATAACAGCCACTAGCGATAGTCACATGTAAAATCCGTCGGGTTGGTTGTACCGAAGTTGATTGTGTTGGTTGGTACATTCAGCCTGCTGAATCGTCTATGGCCGGCCTAAGTAATTATCTAGAAATAAAAAAAAAAAAAAAAAAAAGCTGATATTTTTTTTGGCTTGGGCAGCTGGTGGTTAATTAGCTCTTCCCGTAAAAAAAAAAATGCATAAAAGTGGTACACACCAACTCAATTATTTGTCATGCAGCGGTGGTGCACCATATTCAAACATGTTTACTCCATGTGAGCCAAAATTTTGTTATACGTTATAATAACTTAAAAACAGAACATTAGAACATTGCCGCAAGCACTTCATTCTTTTGGTTCACGCGATCAGAACCATACAGAAACTGTGGCATTGCACTTTTAACATGATCTGAGGCGGCCTGTGTAAAAGCAAATAGAACCTGTCTTATAACATTGTTAATCTTGTGCACAGAAAATAATTCACACCACAAAACCGGCGCGTTTCCCTTTGTTAAGGCAGTATAAACCCCAAACCAAAAATGCAACATATTGGAACTTCATCTTTGGATGTGGTGGCTGCATTAGTTTTATTTTTTTAAGGGGATTTTACTCTGTTTTCACCTGGTGGATCTGGCCAGTAAAACACCTTCTATATTAACCACTTGCCCTCCAAAGGATTTACCTCTTCGTGACCATGCCTTTTTTTGTAATATGGCACTGCGTTATTTTAACTGACAATTGCATGGTCATGCAACGCTGCACCCAAATTAAATTTACGTCCTTTTTTACCCACAAATAGAGCTTTCTTTTGTGGTATTTGATCGCCTGTGCGTTTTTTATATTTTGCACTATAAACAAAAAAAAGACCGGCAATTTTGAAAAAAACCCGATATTAGACTTTTTGCTTTTAAACATGTGCAGTAAAAAATGTAAAAGATCAAATTTCATCATAAATTTAGGCCAAAATGTATTCTGCGACATGTCTTTGCTAAAAAAAAATCCAATATGTGTAAATTAAATTGGTTTACGTGAAAGTTATAGCGTTTACAAATGGCGGTATAGATACTGTAATTTTTTTTATTTACTAGTAACGGTGGAGACCGGTGACTTATAGCGGGACTGCGGCGGGCATTCTGACACTGGGGGGGAACTGACTAACTGCCACTGACATCATCTCGTGACACCAATACAGTGATCAGTGCTAATAAAAAGCACTGACACTGTACTAATGGCGGCACTGGGCAGAAAGGAGATAACGTGGGTCGATCAAAGGGTTAACTTTGTGCTGGTTTACTATGCTGCTGTGTTTCACGCTAAGCACACTGCTTTGTATGTCTGTGCTATGTAGAGCCATACAAAGCAGTGTGCAGGAGCTGACAGGGGAGAGAACTGTATTGTTTATATACAGGTCTCTCCCCCGTCGGAAATCCTTTGAGATCACCGCGGAATCATCGTCTGGGACCTGGTGATTGACAGCCGAGGCTGCTTGGGTAGGGAGCGCATGCACCCCCTACCCAGAACTGCAAAATCACATATACATACACACACACACGCATAATTCTGCGCACCCGTGCCGCCCTGTAGTGGTATTTCTGCTATAGAGCGGCGCGGAAGCGGTTAATGAGACATCACTCTGGATAAATAAGCAACAGAGACACCTTTGGACAGCAGCATTGTTAATCTGAGGGAGTGGAGTGTTATATGTACTAGCAGATTTAGATAAACAAACACATGAAGCCAAACTCCAACTCATACCTTTTAACCAATAACTCAACAGTTTTTTTTTCTCTTGGGATAAAAGTTGGGATAAAAGAAGTGGTAAATGGTTTGTTTCAACCATTTAACTGCTACATCTGCAGGACAGTTTGTTCTTTTAAAAAATAAACAGTTACTGACAGGATCACCAGGTGAAAATAAACAAAAGAAAGCCTAAAAAAGAAAACTAATGCAGCCACCACATCTAAGAATTGTGATTTGCAATATAATAAAAGTTTCCAATTGGGTTTAATACCACTTTAATTGCCCCCCATGTGTTTAGAAGCACTTGTTCATACCGGCCATGAAGTTTATAGAAAGCGAATTGCAGAGCCAGCTGCACAAAGGTGTCTGGGTGGAGCTTCTTCTTCTTCACTAGAGCCTTCCCAAACGAAGTAAAGGCATAGTTGGCAACCTGAAGATCGGAGGCCTGAGGACAGAAGAGACATTGTTAGGGCTGTTGAATGTACTGTGTGATGCACTAATAATGGAGGACATAATAATATACAATTTGTTTTAATCAATAATCTGGGAACACTTTGTACTTACTAGTGTGTACTACAGGATTGAAATTCATAAACACTTCCCCTGCAGGAACCCTGATGGCTCTACAGCAGCGCAGCTCACGATTCAAATCCCAGCCAAGACACTACCTGCCTGGAGTTTGCATGTTCTCCCTGTGCCTGTGTGGGTTTCCCCCGGGTACTCTGCTTTCCTCACACACTACAAAGACATGCTGGCCAATTAATTGGTTCCTGTCTAAATTGGCCCTAGCATGTGTATGAATGCATGATAGGGACCTTAGATTGCAAGCAACTTGAGGGCACTGTGTAAATTGTCAGCGCTATATAAATACCTGTAACAATAATAAAAACCTATTACATCCACCAATAAGATTCAACCCTGCCCTGGAAAATTCCTGATTGGCTGCTGGAAGCGGGAAACCCATCCCATGAGAAGCTTTTTAGAACTTGCCTTTGGTGGATTGCCAAGAAAAATTATAGCATTCTTTTTGGCAGATTAGGAGATATATAGTTTCTGATTTTGTTTATTCCTGTCTGTGACCCCATTGTGAATATTTTCCCTCAGTCCCTGCGACACCAGGACAACAAATAGAGGGCACAGGTGTCACCAGGACAGGAAATCACAGACATTAATAGCATCATTTCTAGTAGTTCCTGTTGGATAGCCTTTCCTTCATGTGTTAAAAAGGTAATGAGGGAAAACCTACCCAATAGAGACTCAGACAGCAATACAAATTTGGATGAGGCTCCAATACTTCCCCAGTTTATCTAAATTTTGAGACCTCTGGCATGAAATATGAACCAAGCATCTTCTTCTACAGCGTGTGCTTGTCTCAATCCAAAGCACTAAGTGTCATCATTTCTGTCTGCTGCCTTGTTACTCTGCTATCAGCTATCAGTCACTTCTGGCAAGTTTTCCTGACACCAAGATGTAAAACATTTACAGAGGAGGGAGCTCCAGCACACAGCCTGTGATAGACAGCTTCCGCTCTGTTTCTGTGTGAAGGGGTGTGTGTCCCTTCTCTCCAATCAGCTCTGCGAAGTGTAACTACAGCTCCCTACCCCCTGATTTATGAAAGCTCAGACAAGCTGTATAAATTCTGCACTTTGAATGGCTATAGAGAAGAAAATAATACAGATAAACAGGTGCAACTTAGGCACAAGGATTTGTTTCATCTCTGTGTATCATCTGAGGCCAATCACTTCACTGGGTATATGTAAGGGTTTACAACCACTAAGGGTCCAGTTACACCAGATGTGCTGGCATGCACTGATCAATACAAGCCAGTACATACACAGTACATTGTAAAAGCAATATATTCCATTGGGCAGCACAGTGGCTAAATGGTTAGCACTTCCGCCTGGCAGTACTAGGGTCATTGGTTCAACTCCCAGCCACGGCACCACCTGCCTGGAGTTTGCATGTTCTCCCTGTGCCTGTGTGGATTTCCTCCGGGTACTCTGGTTTCCTCCCACACTCCAAAGACATGCTGGTAGGTTAATTGGCCCCTGTCTAAATTGGCCCTAGTATGTGTATGTATGAATGTAAGTTAGGGACCTTAGATTGTACACCTCTTGAGGGTTAGGGACTGATGTGAATGTACAATATATATGTAAAGTGCTGCGTAAATGGACGGCGCTAAATAAGTACCTGAAATAAATAAATAATAAACAGGAGCAGTTTGATCCAGAGTGTTGTACTGATGTGCATTGACCTGCGCTGAAAATAAAAGTAGCACTGGCTCGACTGTTTTTTTAGCACAACATGGCACACCACATGTAAACACACATAGGCGCGCCACATCACAAATAAACATAGGAAGCGAAAAATTCAATTGGAATTTCCTTTAAAAAAAAAAATAAAAATAAATAAAGTTATGTGAATTTTTGCAGTGCAACATGTAAATTTGCAACACAGAGAATGATAAATCGCAATGCAGCATGCAAACGCAGGTCAATGCACAAATGTTTATATGCATTCACCACACACATTGTGGTGTGAATGGATTCAACTAAGATTTGGGCTGCAGCTGGACTTTAAGTACCTTTGTAATGTATTGTGGATGGTGCTGGTAGTTCCGGGAGATTCCACTTGTTTTCTGGAATGGCTGTTTATCATGTGATCTATAGGGTAATAAATGAAATGTACCTGAGTATGATACTGTGCTTTGGCAAGAGCGATGTCATCTAGGATTTTCTGATCCACGGTGAAAACCAGCTCTGTGGGATGAGCCAAGTCCCGGACTGACACAGGACCCTGCCAGGAGGAAGTGTGTATTAATACATATATTAGAGTGGAACGACATTTTCCTCACTGAACATGGACCATCCTTATGCTGCTAACGTGAATACATAGATAGGAAGGTTTATTATATTTACTTGCTTTTCACTTTTTCGTTTACATTTCTTCAGTTGCTACTTGGTTTATGGCCTAGACCAAAATAGTAAATAATCATACATCCTGGTATTTATTTTTTACTTTCAGGAGGGAGAGGGGGGGGGGGGGGAGGGGTTTTCTCAGCTAAGCTCATCCTCCTGCCTGCATGCCTGAGCTCTGGGCAGATGGATTCCAGGAAGTGCTACGTGAATCATCTGCACTTACTCAAGATGGCAGCGATTAGAAATGCTAATAGACTGTTTTTCAAAGTGACTTCTCAACAAAAAGAAGGATGACATGGATGAATGGTTGAATATTACAAATGAAATAAATAGCATTTGCAGTTTGTGGTGCTCGAATACAGCTAAAGCCCAACTCCTGGCAAATTTATTCTTTCCCATGCAATGAAGGTGTGCCCCCACTGCATGGGTCAACTTCTCAAAGTTCATACTCACCTGATCCTTCGATTATCTGGGAAACCGCCCTACCCCACAGTCCACTGGTGGATTTTTCTGGTCTATGGAGCATGCTGACGTCAGGAACAGTCCATTTTCAAGCACAGGGGTGCCAGACTGGTCTTGTGTGGGGAGGATCGGAGGATCAGGTAAGTGCATCTCCACTGTCCTCTCCCCTACAATAAAACGAACAGCTAACCCATGCAGTGCAGGCACAGCCCCACTGCATGGGGAAAAAAAATCTGCACGGAGTTCAGCTTTAAAGTATTACTAAAGGCAAAACGTTTTTATTTAGTTTTTGATAAAGTGGAGAGGGATTAGAAAGCTTGGCAGTTTTCTTTGCTCTCTGTGCTCTCGTTAGGGAGATCCCCCCTCTTTTTTTTGTCTTGTTTACCATTATCATTGGAAGTGAAAATAAAAGAAAATCCCAAATTTTGGGTTGTCCCTCAAAAAGTAATAGAGGGGAAATCTTCCAATGGGGACACTGGTTCTAGCTTCCTGGGGGTCCCCAAATGATTGCCTTAATTTGCAGGGATTTCCTTTCACGTCCTGTTTGGCTATGGTAAAGGAAGTGAAATCTCAGAAAAGGGACACAGATGTCAAAAAAAAAATTTGACAGGGGTTATAACTCTCCCATGTTCCATCCAAAATAAAATAAAATAAAAAAAAAAAAAAACATTTGCATATAGATCTATTTTAGGTTCCATTTAAGGGATACACGCTGATGTTTAATCAGCATATATCCCTTAAATGGAACCTAAAGTAGAACTATACACTTTTTACGATTTATCCTGACTCATATGATGTGACCTACATGCTGAGTGCATTTAAAGCGGAACTCCAGGAGAAGCCCTGTAGATGCAGAGGGGACCCACCGCAAGGGTAAACCTCTATTTTCTCTGGAGTTCCGTTTTAATCTCCATCCTGGTATTTACCTTGTGCAGCTGACTGCTTACCTAGCTAGATTCCCAGAACTGCCAATTTTAGCTTCATGCAGGAGTAGGAAAAAGAAGCCGTGAAGCACATTATCTATATCATTGCTTGGAAACATTATAAAAAGTCCACTGTAAAATTCAGATTAAATCTGGATATTGGTCAAATAAATACAGACAATTAATGTACTTGCACAAACTGTTTTATCAGCCAGTTCTGACCTAGTGAGCATGGAGAACAAAGGCTATCATGTGCTGAGCAGAGCAGCACTTTGGAGAAGTGTAAACACTTCAGGCCTCATGCACACAGGAAATCTGTTTAGCCCCTTTGAAGGCCTATTTTCCCGGCAGGAGAATAGCTGCTAGGAAAAAAAAAAAAAAAAAAAAAAAAAAAAAAAAAAAAAAAAAAAAAAAAAAAAAAAATCGCAAAAAAAGCTGTGTATTGCACACAATCAGGGGTGTCAAGCATTTGAGTGTTGATGGATTCCATTGTCCAGATAATAATTTATTTTGGCTAGTGAAATACATTAACACTCAAAGCATTTAGGTGCATTTAGGCACATCTAGTGCTTCTTTTGCTCCTATCCTGAATGTGCTTTTGGTGAGTTTTTTTTTTCACGCCTGTAAATGTACCTCTTCTAATACGCCTTTAAATGCCGCCCAAGTGTGCATGGGCACATAGGGGTTTATTTACTAAAGCTGGAGAGAGCAAAATTAGGCTCACTTCTGCATAGAAACCAATTAGCTTCCAGGTTTTATTGCCCAAGCTTAATTTAACAAGCTGAGGTTAGAAGCCGATTGGTTCCTCTTCAGATGTGAGCCTGATTTTGCTCTCTCCAGCTTTATTAAATAAACCCCGCTGGCTTACATGGAGGTGCGTTTACAGGCTAAAAAAAATAAATAGAACACCAATTGCAAAAGAGGCTTTTTTTAAGCCTACTGTGCATTAGGCCTTAAAGTGGCAGAGAGATAACCTCACCTCCAGGTACAGGTTGGGGGAGGGACAAGACCTGTAAATGATACTTAACCTTCCTGGCAGTACTCCCAAGTGTAGCTCAGGGTTAATTTCAGTACCAGAAGCGGTAACCCAGAGCAACTCTCGGGATTACACTGCAGCGATCCCTCGAGCCTTACCTTCTCCCACGATCCCGCGAGGTCCTCCCACTGTGTACCCCCGGCCAAGTCCGCCGGCATTTGTCTTCCGGGTTCCATTCCCTGCGAGCGTCAAGACGTACGGGGAGCAAAACCGGCGGGAGATTCAAAAAAAGTCAAAATTTTACATACACATAATATGCTGTAATCTTTTAGGATCACATTACTGTATCAAACCATTTCACCTAAATATTGTCCCGAGTGCTTTGTCCTGTGCCCTGCCTGCATTTTTACTGTTCTTTCTGCCTGGAAACTTGAGAATGTCCATGGCGTCCAAAAATCGTCCCTTTAGGTCAAAAGCGGTTTTAGACCAGCTAGAGAACAGCGATAGTAAATCAGAACCACTTGCAGAATTGAGTGATAATGATTTGTGGGGGAAATTCGTCATCAGACACTGAAAACGATTCTGCGACTGAGCTCAGTGATGTGCGAACTTGGCGCTATATTTCATATTTCAGTGTTTTTGGTTTGATTACATTATTGAATTAAATGTATTATAATATTATTTTTTATAATTATTATATTATAATTTATGATTCGTGTTTCAAATACCCGGATGTTATATACCGGCGTGTTTATCATACCCGGATGTTTACTAGACTCTTGTTTGGACAGATTTAAGTGATTTATTTCTAAGAATTACAGGCCTACAATATAAAACAATAAATTTCCATGAAAAACAATGTACTGCCAGTTAGACTGCCAGGGAGGTTAACTGCCCTTCCAGGGCTGTGCTACGTGTCAGAGCTGGTAAACCTCAGAATTGAATAGACAGATATACAAATCTTTTACCAGATAAAGCAATGCCCACATAAGTATTTATTCTATGTATTTAGTTTATTGCGTGGATTTCAGCTTTAACATGTTTATATAAAAAAAAAAAAAAGAAAAGAAAAAAACATGCAGAAGAAAAAGTCCCTCCTGGCCAATGCATTGTGCACATACCTTCCAACGTCCCTCAGAGGCCTTTATGTTGTGATCGATGTAGTCACACATAGCCACCAGCACCATAGCATCGTACGGAGCATGCTGTAACACAGAGAGAGACAAGCCGTAAGATCACAGCACAGTCAAGAGCTGCGGTCACACCTGACTTCACATTGGTGAAGACTATATTTTACATGGCCGGAACAACCTCAAACAGCCCATGTTACATTGTCATTCATTCAGCAACACTTTTACAGCTTGTACAGGTTTGGTTATCCTGTGTCTGGATTCTCTAAAGCTGACCAAACCACTGAAAGCTGAACGAAAAAAAGTTTCCTCCATTTGTGCTAACAGCATGTATGGACAACTCCCCCCAACCTAGCTGTTGTATTCTGACAGCCGGCAACAGCAGCTGTCCCAATGCCCAAACAGTGACTGCATCTGAATAGATGAACAGAATAGATGCAGCCAGTATTCAGCTAACACTTCCCCACCTGGCTGCTTCAAATTTTTTTTCACTGTTGTCTTCTGTGGGCGTTCATGCCTTTTTATGTTGCTCAGCTCACCATTGTGTTCTTCTTTCCTCAGAATGTACCAAACTGTTGATTTAGCCGCTCCTAATGTTGCGACTATCTCTCTGATGGATTTGTTTTGTTTTTGAAGCCTTACAACGGCCTGTTTCACTTGCAGCTCCTTTGAATGCATGATGTAGGTTCACAGCAATGCATTCACAATGCAAATAACACACTTAGAATCAACTCCAGACCTTTTACCTGCTTAATTGATATAGAAATAACGAAGGAGTAGCCCACACCTGGCCACGAAACAGCTTTTGATTCAATTGTCCAATTACTTTTGGTCCCTTGAAAAAGGGGGAATGGCTACTCTTAAGAGCCGTAATTCCTAAACCCTTCCTCCAAGTTGGATGTACATACCCTCATATTAAACCTGAGAGTGTGCACTGTCAGCCCATATCCATTATATAACTATAGCTTGAATATGTAAATACCTGAAATTAACTAAAACTGTGTCCAAATATATATGGGTCTAACTGTATGTAAACCTAGATGCTCCCACTCAATCACCACCCAGTACAAATCTCAGTTTAATATACATTTTAGCAGAACAGATAGATTTTTTTTTTTTTAGCTAGTTTATTAGGCTAGCTTCACACTTGTGCAGGTGGTTGCCGCTGTGGGACCTGCACCTCTTCCTGCAGCTGCAGCCACCCACAAAGTGAAATGCAGGAGCAGCGGGTGGATGCCATTAATCCTAATAGCACGCCACTCACACTTAAAATCGGAACCGCACTGTACTTGCAGTTTCCATGTGGGCTGCAATTCCAAAAATAGTGCAGGGACTTTTTCCCTGCGTTTCACGAGGAATGGCAGCCAGTTCAAATGAATGGCAGCCGTAAACGTACGATATAGTTACAGTGGGTATATCTGACTGGATACATCTCCTAACACAGATGTATCCAGATACAACTGCAGTCTCTCTTCCCTTATTCCAGCTCTCCTCCGGGTCCTTCCGCCAGTTCCAGCCAACAGATCTCATTGACCAGCATCTCACGGAGGCTGTAGGAACCCACAGAGATTTCTGGCCATGGTGACACCTCATTTTTTCCATCTGCCTTCCGTTGGCTACGGGATTGTGGGTCATCCATCGGTGGACGCTGTATGGCACTGTCAGGTTTCGGAACATCCATGTCTGTGAGCAGCCTCCTCTCTGGAAGTTTTTAATTATGATCAGGTTACATGGTCCTAACAAATCTTGCATATGTCATTCACCTCTTGGGATCAGTTTATAACATTCTTGCACTTGGAACAGCACTCCTTGCTGATCTTTGTAGTACTTTTCCATTTAGTTCATGTGCTGCCTTCCCTGTGGTGCAAACAATAGTATTCCAAGGACATCTGTTTGAGCGCCCAGTTTCTCTGTGTTTTTTCATATTTTTTTCTTTGGGAGGGTGCATGTGATCAGCACAGGGCCAATCAGAACTGTCCAGACAGAGGGTCGGGGTTATGCAACCTCATAGGACAGTCAGAGGAGAATGAAAACTCCTACAAACTTTAACCAGTGCTCTGCCGGACACTGATATAAGTCACAAGACTGCTATGTACAGCTGATGAGAAAAAGTATTTAGCAGGTTATATTTACTAAAATAATTGCCTTTCCATGTAGCATGTACTGTAGAAGACCGGATATAATGAATGCAGGGTCCTGGGTTTAGTAACACTTAAAGCTTTGACAATAAAACCTGGAAGCTGATTGATTGCTTTTCACAGCTGCACCAAAGTTTTAGTAACATCTCCAATGTGTCTCGTGATGCTGTATATTGCTCTGATGCAATAACAAGGATGTTCTTCTATACACAGGACTGATTTCTTTCCTCACCTCCATGTGATAGTCAGAGCCTGACTGGCAATCACAAATGGTATAATATTGGTGGAAGAGGATAAGTTATCCCATAACCAGAAGTACTGGATATCATTCACCACTCCTGAAAGATGATCAGATAGGTAGAGGAGCAGAGGGGAGTCGAGTGTTGCTGAGGAGGAGCATCAAAGAGATCCTACTGCTTTATCCTGTGTGGGCAACTCACCTGAGTGACGGGTATTCTATACTTACATCGCAGTTGGAGCCGAACACTCCATTACGCCACATGATGAAGTTGTAAGATTTGTCTCCCCAGCGCACAGTTGGATCTCCAGCCAGAGCTTTGTATGCAATCTATATTATAGGGAATAAAGCACATTGTCAGCAGGCATGATACTTGCACTGCTCTTAAAAAAAAAAAAAAATGCTGATAGCAGAT